ATTAAAAATTAAAAATGATGTTTTAATTAAAAAAAAAAAAATTAATTTTTTTGGTTATGGAACATGACATGTATTCAAGTGTATGAATACATGACATGTATATTTTATTTTATGATCTTATTGAAACATGTTTTGTTGTTTTTTTTAGAAGCTGCTTTTAAGTCAAATAAAAACTTAACCAAAATGAATGCCATTACACTTATTGGAAAAGTAAGTAGGCATTCTTCTGACCGAATATAGAGAACATCCAATAATATGGATTTCGATCAATGATGGCTTAATTAACTGTTGTATTTATTTATTTATTTTTAATTTTTATAAGCAATCTTCTTCTATTTATAATGCACTATCGATTATATTCTACAGTACCTATTAGTTTTTAATTTGGAAAATGTAACTTTGTTTGAAAAATTATTCTTATTTTTTGTAAAGTTATTAATTTATTTTAAATATATCAAGTTACACTTTATTTACGTTGATTTCTTTTATAACTTCTCTTGCCTAGATTTAGGCAAATCTAAGGTGTGTGTTGTAAATCATTGCATTTTTATATAACTTTAAAAAGAATGTCTTGGTAAAATTCAAGCGTCTTTAGGACGTCTAAACAAGACTTCCTTAAGTCTTTCATATGAGACCAGCCAGAGACGTCTCTAGAACGTCTGCATAAAACGTCTCTAGGACGTCTTAAAAAGACGTTTTTAGGACGTCTGGAATAGACGTCCTCAAGCCTTTCATTTGAGACTAACTAAGGGTGTCTTACGGACGAGACTTAAGACGACTTACGGACGTCCTTAGGACGTCAAAATGCCCGCTGGGTTGACAAACACCACATCGTACTGAAAATCATCGGAGAATTCCCCCGTGATGATACAATAACTAAAGAAAATATAGTTAGGGCTATAATTATAATTATTTCAAACCTAGAACTAAATAAAACTCTTGACTGTTTGATTGTTGATTTGATTTGACTGTTTGGTATCTCAGGAGAACATTTGAAGATTTGATTTTTTTGAACTTGATTGATTTGGTCAACAGAACATTTGAAGTACGCAAATTATGATACTTTAACAGAATGGCTCAACAACTTCTTTAACTATTCCATTAATTATGAATGTACACCAATGTTAATGTCGACGTCAATTATTGTACCCCTTGTTAAATCGTCCAAAAAAACTTTAGATAGCCCGATCAACTATCAATTAACACTAGTATTAGAATTAAACCAATTTTTACAAAAGGTTTTAGAATATCTAATTCTCATTATATGTCCGGATATTAGAGATACTCATCCCCTACAATTTGGTTTCAAAACTAATTGTTCAACGCTACATGCTGAGTTTTTAATTAATGAAACAATTAAACATTACAATAGCAACAATTCCCCTGTGTACCTATGCTCTTTAGATGCAGAAATAGTTTTTTATAGCTTTAACTGGGGTATCCTATTTGATAAATTGTATTTCGATAAAAAATTACCACTCTCTATTGTTAACACTATCTCTTGGTTATGTAACAAAAGTAGTACAACAGGTTCATATCAAGGTTATAAATCAAACTCTTTTCTTCTAAAGCAAGGTGTAAGACAAGGACCGATTCTTTCACCTCACCTCTATAATATCTGCACTGAAAGTCTTTTTGAATCTATTAAAAATCAAAGTATTGTAGGCACATCTATATACGGTAACTTTACTGGTGTGGTAGCATATGCAGATGATATCATACTTTTAAGCTCTACCCTCCTGGTCTCAAAAAACTGACTAAAAATTAAAAAATAAACAAAAAAGATACAACTTTTTCTTTTTTGCTTATTTTTTAATTTCAAACAATTGAAGAACTTATCGATTTAAAAAAATGTTTTCTATTAATTAGTATATTCTACACAAAACCAGGACTTTATTTCAACATGCTATTAAATAACGTTAGTGATTTATTGAAAACGGTTTTTCCGTAAAAGGTAAAAGACCGTAATTTATTCAAAATATATGGTAATAACATATGGTAAAATATGTTATTATATATGGTAAAATACCGCAATTTATTTGAAAAGGATTTTTTCCGTAACATAACAACGAAAAAAGTTCGATAATTACTACGGAGTTTTTTTTACAGTGTATTTAAAATGTTTGAAAGTGTTGATTCATGATTGACTAAAGGCAAAATGTTTTTGTTGTATGTTTTTGTGCATCTACTTAAATCTGTTTGAAATAACTGGATTACAGAAAAAGCCAATAGATCCGTTATGAATTTAATGGGAAAACTAAATATGCATGTTGGACATCTTAAGTTTGTTCAGACTCAAAGAAAATAACAATTGTAAAATTGTTTAAACTTACATGTGTGTCTGTTGCACTGAAACCTATTGAAAGTATAAAGGTGTCTACTTGTCAACAAATCTTTTGTGATGAAACTGTAACTGTTTTAAAATCAAAGTGCAACAAGTCATTGTAAAAGTAAGAATTCAACGAGCAAAACAAAGTCTTCACATTGGTATAGACATTGATTTTTTATCTTTAGAAAGTGGGCATTACTGCCAGAAATGTTGATATTTTCTTAGCAGTAATGCTATTGATATATTTGACGATTTGCCTGAGCTAGAAAAGAGTATGCAAATAGATACAAAAGCAGAATTAGTATAATATAGCTCAATAATAACCCATCCCACTTTGACCTTCATAAACTTCGGACTTTGACCTTCATAAAAATCGGACTACTCTATTACTTGTCGGGGTCCACGTCTGTGGAACTCAATCCTGAATAATGACATAAAATCTCTAGCCTCAATTAAAGCATTTAAAAAAGCTGTGAAACAACATTTGTTAAATCTAACCAACAAAAATATTTTTTTGTATTTTTAAGTCGTATTTTTATGTATTTACTAATACGAATATGTATGTTTAATTCAAAAATATGTAATTTTATTATAAACTAATTTTATAATTATAGATTTTACGAGCTTAATCATGTAAATAAAGTTAACTATTTTACTATCAAAGGGGCAAGATGATAAGATGTATTGTCTTCTGCTTGCTCCTGTCAGAATTTAAAAAATGTATTTTATTTTATTTTTATTTTACAAGTACATTGTAAAATTTTCTTTTCTTTTTTGTTCATTATGAAATATATATTGATTGATTGATTGAAAAAAATGCAGTAATAGTTGCATTTATTATATTAGTAACAAAAATATAAAGGAAAGAATCCAGAATTGAAGAGCTAACTAAAAGCAGCGTTACAACTTACATATGGAGTGAAAAGTCCTATGGCTTACCTTTTAATTGGTGCACTTCGTTAAGTAAGTTAGACATTATGTCTAAATTACGAACAGAATAGCCAAGGCAAAAATTAAAAATTTTACCATTAATTATTTTACTAGAATCCATTAAAAATAAATGAAAAATAATTGTCCAAAAAGTAAAGACGCTCAGATAAAAAAACTGTCTGGCGGCGTCTACATGACGTAATTATCGAACGTCTTCTTGACGTAGACTAACCGACTAATTAAATAGTTGCAATTATGATTTAATTTTACAAATTTAAGCTACACCTATATAAAATCCTAGATCCGCCCCTGAAGCGTTTAGATAACCTCAAAGTAAATGACGCTGATTGTGAGTTATTTACTATTGAAATAATTAATAAAACAAATAAAAATACATTTATAACAGCATTATATAGACCGCCTAATGGTAATTACTATCAGTTTGAAAACCACCTAAATTACTTGCTACCAAAGCTCATTAAAAAACACGTGTATTTCTTGGGTGATTTTAATTTGAATTTTCTGAATAGTAAAACAGATAACCACGTTGCGCGTTTTATAAATACACTTTTGCAATACAGCGTTTTCCCCATAATTAACAAGCCAACACGCGTGACTAAAACAACTGCATCCATTATCGATAATATTATTACTAATAATTACACAAGGGCTAAAATGCAAAGTGGTATTATTAAAACAGATATCACGGATCATTTTCCAGTTTTTTTGATCACAAATTTGGCAACCCCTGAGAAAAAAAATAGAAACAAAAACTATTTATGTAAGAAAAACAAATAATGAATCAATCGTCACATTTCGCGACCTCTTACAAGAAATAAACTGGGAACTATTGACTGATTGCAATGATGTAAATAATGGCTATGATTTTTTTATTTGCGTGTACGAAAAAAAATACGAAAAAGCCTTTCCAAAAGATAAAAAAATTATTAATTCTAAAAATTTGCTTAGTCCGTGGATGACGAAAGGACTCATTAAATCATCAAAAAGAAACCAAAAATTAAAAAAAAATCTTTTTTAAAAAAAGAATTATAAAATTGAAATAAAATACAAAAAATAAAAAATTCTTTCGAAAAGTTAAAAAAGCAATCCAAAAAAAATTGCTATTCCTTATTGCTTAATAAAACATTTGAAAATGCGTCATGACATGAAAATGGAATGTAATTAAATTACTGTAATTAAATTACTGTTAGTGAAAAACACTCATAATATGAGTGTTTTTCAATAACACAAAAGATTGTTTTGTTGGTTGTGCACTTATCGTTTTTATCAAGAAACCAAGATTCATTTATGTCTTTTACCAAAAGGGCATACGAAAAGAGACGCAGTAGACGTGTCCAAAAAGAATATTAAAAAATACTAGAATTTTCATCAGTACATATAGAAAAAAAATCGAATGTTGGAACTTCTAAAAGAAATGATTTCTTATCTTGCGAAAATCTAAAAGAATATTTTGACCATCATGAGTCATCGATTTTGTACAATGAATACTCTTATGACCAAAAGCCTAATGAGTATAAGCATAACCCAACTTTAAAGGAAAGTTTTTCTGCATGTTTTTCTAACCAAGTAGTTATGCACTAAACAAGTGGATTGACAAATAATACCAACAAATTTATTGTCCCAAAAAAAAACTATAATCATGCACTGAAAAACAACCTTTTGTCAGCAAAAGAATGACACAAATTTCCATTGATAAAGTGTAAGATAACAGATAGTCAGTATCTAACTTGTTTTGTATTTTTTTTTAAAGGTAACTTAATTACTTTTTTGTAGCAAAATGTTTTATAATTAGATTCATTTTCATGTTGTGAAGAATACAACTTTCTACATCAGATGAGATATAAGTTAAAGAAAGCATTAAAAATAAGAATAACAAATCATACCGCTCTTCATTGCCAGAACCTCCGCCACCTATTATGAATAAACCCTATGCTAAAAGTATAACATAAATATCATAATTTTTTCTTAATGGTTTATAAACTGAAATAGATTCTTGTTTAATTTGATCTGAATAATATCTATCTAGCTATTAGTCTTTTTTATGTATTACTAAGATTTTCCTTTTATTTTAACTATTTGGATGTCCTATTATATGTAATGTTGTTTAATTGGTTACATATATTTTTATCATTGACAACATTCTATTGTATTAAATAATCCTTTATTCAACTTGATATGAAAATTGAAAATTGATTGAAAGCATGCTGAAGTTTTATCTGCTGAAATTGTTTGAATTCAGAAATTGAAAGAGTACAAAATTGGTTGAAAGATTAATTTAAGTAACAGGTATGGTTGAGGGATTATTTATAGTTCTAACTATAATTATTTCTTTTGAATAGAGTTGTTATCAGATTCAAAGATTGAAGAAGATAATTTTTCTTCACATTTTGTTGATGAACACCAAGCAAAGTTCACATTGTCAAAGAGTTTTAAGTTTTAATGTGAGTAATTTTGGTTTTTACACCATTGAATGTTAATGTGGAGGTCTTTATTATTAATTTGTTTTTGTATTAAAATAATTGTAAAAGATAGGTATAAAAGAATAGAAATGGATTATTTATAATATTGTGATCCGATAAATCATGTGTGTAGCATTTTATCTTTAGTAATCAAGCAAAATTCTTTAATATCGTAGCCTTTTACAGGATGAAGTTTTAGCTGATTTAAAAAGCAGGTTTATTTTACTAAAATATTATGGCAACTTCTGCGATGGAGTAATAAAAAAACTTACATGTATTTTTGATTTTACATAAAATTTAAGTTACTCAAGCATAATTTGAATTTTAAAGTTCTTATTTCATTGTTTTGCTATTTGGTTTTATGAGCTAAATATGTTAATCAATCTTTTTATTCTTGTTTGTAGAGATGCAAAATGTTATTCTCAAGGAGCTTGCAGAAATAAAAGTTCTTTTAAAAGAAGTTATAGAAATTAAGTTTCAGGCTACTGGGGTGAAGTTGCTAGAATCGGTGGACAAAGTGGTTACACTGGATAATAAACTAAAAGATAAAACCAAGTATACTAATTTGGTATAATCTAATTATCTTAATTTTTAATAAGTTTGTTTAAGTTTGGTTTATTAGTTTAGAATCTAAATAAAAAGTATTTGTAAATGAACTAAAATAACTAGCTTGTGTTAGACTCAATATGTTGTAAAGAAATTTAAGTTACACTAGTTTTTATTACATTTATTTTAGCTTGATAGTTTAAAAAAGATTGGTGGTGGAAAGCCAAGAAAACATGTTTTTTTGATCATGAAAAGGTAAAAGATTATGTTTTTATTAATTATTAGAAATATGATTAAAAAGGACCAAAAGCAATTCTTTTTGACCGTTACTTGTTATGAATTTACTTTTAACATGACAATTTGATAAACTCGGGAGCTTCGTTGTAGGTGTTTAAGTTTGTTTGTGTGCTAAAGTAAGTGTAATGCTAAACCTTGTTTAGCATTTTATTTTCAAATTTAATGCTTTTACCTTTCATAATTTTAAGCATTCATTTATTAAACTATATTTTAATTTATTACATATATTAAAATAAAAATCTTTATATATTTCAGTTTATTGTTAAAATATTAATCGAAAAGGAAATGGGGAAAAGATAAGCTTAGAAAATCTAGTAAATATATGGAGTGTTTTATGAGGTATAGTTTTAATAGTATTTACAAAACTGATATCTGTATTAAAAAGATATTCTTCGACTTTTTTGTCTCATGCTAGAATTTTTGTATCCATAATACAAGTTCCTTTAGTTTTTTCATAAAAAAATTGTTGTTTATTATTGTATCTGGTTGAGATACAAATCTTTTTATATATATATATATATATATATATATATATATATATATATATATATATATATATATATATATATATATATATATATATATCAGGCTTGGTCGGGAAGCGGGAGCGATCGCTCTCGATTGCTGACCACGTAAATAATATTTAGTTGCGAAAAGCTGGCCAGATTTTTAGTCGTTTTGAGAACATTTTAAAAAGCAAAAAAAAAAAAAGCGACGAAGATTAATTGGACCGATGAGAGACAATTACAAAAAAAAAAAAAAATTAAGCGATGTTTTTTATATAAAGTAACAACTTACGATTGTTTAAAAGAGAAATAAATATTCTTTATTTAACTAAGTTTGCAAGTTTTAGTTTTACTTAAGATAAATTATTTTATAAATAAAAAAGTTAATTTTTTTAATACCTATTTTATGTTTCGCGTAGTTTGAAAAGTTTAACATATTTGAAACGATTCTTCTTAGTAAGATAAACAAATGAAATAATTAAACCATTGAATTACTCTAGGAATTAAATAATCAAAATAGAAATCAACTAAAAAGGTTAAAAATACTTAATGACCAGGAAGCGAAACTGCTTCGAAACATCGCTGAAGATGTTTAGTGAGTGGGCTTTTTAATTTTAATTAGTATTTAAAGCAGAAAAAAGTATAACGAGTTTTAAGAATGGCAACTTAAGCGAAAATAATTAGAGTAAGTAAACCAATATCTAGAATCTTCTCTTTATATCTAATTATTTGCTATTTATTTTTGTGTACTGTCGTGACCTCAGGCGCGATGCTTGTTCATCGGCGAGTTACTTCGTATGCGTTTTTTGTGTTTAGTAACCAGAAACTACTTATATGTTTGTTACATAATTAGTTTTATTAACTTTAACGATTATAACTTCATTGAAAACGCAATTATTTTTTTAAGTCTTTGTTTAAATCATAAAAATTGCTTTAAAAGATACATTACGATAAAAAAAAAATACACAAAGTTACATTTACATAAAGATTACAATCTCTTTTAAAATAAAAAATAAGAATATACTAATAATAAAATCTATGATTTATAATAAACTTTTAAAATTTTAACAATTTATTCAATATATATTTAAAACATTTATTTTCGTAAACAAATAATATATATTCTTAAAACAATGCTAGAAATCTCAAAAGGTAACAAATCGTGTATAATACAATTTTTTAAAACATTTTAACAGAATACTCTAGAACTTTATTTCGCTTAAACAGCGTATTTTTTGAACCAATAGAATTAGTTTGTTCGTTAATTTGGCGGGTTTTTAGTGTTCGCAAATATTCTTTTTATTCTTTCGCACAAAGATGTTTTGAGAACATTCAAGTTTTTTATGTTTCCATGTATGTCCGTAAAACAAAAAAATTTTGTTTCGTACATAAACTTAAATGACTAAAAAACCTGGCCAGTTTTACGCAACTGAATATAATTTCCGTGGTCAGTGTCCGAGAGCGATCGCTCCCGCTTCCCGACCAATCCTGATATATATATACATATATATATATATATATATATATATATATATATATATATATATATATATATATATATATATATATATATATATATATATATATATATATATATATATATATATATATATATATATATATATATATATATATATATATATATATATATATATATATATATATATATATATATATATATATATATATATATATATATATATATATATATATATATATATATATATATATATATATATATATATATATGTATATATATACATGTATATATATACATGTATATATGTGTGTATACAGTATTAGACAAAAAATTTGCAACCAACATCGAACAATGCTAAAAAGTGTTCCTAATTTTAGGTCTTAAAAATGAAACGAACTATACTACCACAGCAAACAGTTCAAGAGTCTGGAGTCATAGCATGCCATGAAATGAGCAATCAGCTGACAGGTGACAGCACACAGGCAGAATTTCGTTGACAAGTGCCATTTTGCAGCATACATATATATACTGTGAAGCATGGTGGAGGCAATGTAATGGTCTGGGGGTGTTTTTCTGCTAATGGTCTAGGTCCAATACATCGAATCAATGGAATAATGGACCGTTTCATGTATAAAAATATCCTGAAAGATGTTATGTTACCTCATGCTGAATGGAATATACCAATAAAATGGGTTTTTCAGCAAGACAACGATCCCAAACACACTGCAAAAGTAGTCAAGCAGTGGTTTCAAGACAACCAACTATTGGTGATGGATTGGCCGCCTCAATCTCCGAATCTCAACCCTATCGAGAACCTGTGGGAGATTGTCAACCGCAGAGTTAATCATGAATGTGTTCGTAATAAGGATCAACTGTTTGAACAAATCCAAAAGGCCTAGACAGCGATTCCACAGAGTTTTATTGATCACCTGATCGAATCTATGCCTTAATGATGCAAGGCTGTGATCGACAACAAAGGATTCACCACAAAATATTGATATGAATACAGCTTGGTCAACATATTGTGGAGTTGCACTTGTTTTGTCCAAATGGAAATCAACTTTTTTTAATACTTTTGATTAATTTATTAATTTTCGTGTACAAATAATGAACTTTGTGATGAATAAAACTTGAAGAACGTTGTCTCTAAACAGTTACATAGTTATTTCTCTAATTTGATAAAATACAGCACTTTTATACAAAGAAACTAAATTAGCATCATTAGGTTGCACTGGTTTTGTTCGATACTGTATGTGTATATATATATATATATATATATATATATATATATATATATATATATATATATATATATATATATATATAATATTTCATAAAAATAGATTCAGAATTCTACATGTCTTTTAAAGTCATTTAAATGTCATTAATGTATATATTTTAGATATCGGCGACGTGGAAGAAAATGTTGACGGCAATGCAGAAATATAGTTTCTTATGTATATTTTTGTGAAATAAAAATTAAGTAATGTTAGTTAAAATGTTTCTTTACTTATTTAATTTAATCCTTTTTTATGACTAATTTAACCGCTGTAACACCTTTGTATCAAACAAGTCCCAGCAAAGGAAGAGATATCTAAAATGCATCTAATATGCATCTAAAAACTGGTCTAAAAGAAATTCACGTCGTGAACGGGGCAAATAAATAAATATTGATCTTGACTTAGTACCGAAACAAAATCAAGTTTACTTCAAACGATGCTTTAGCCAAGCAAACATAATATCGTTTAATGAGCAGCTATCCTTACTACACTGGAAACATTTAAATTTTTCATCTGAAGCAAATCTAGTTTATAACTCGTTCTTTAAAACAGTTTTTGAAGTTTATGACGCCAACTTTCCTTAATGCGAAGTAAGTCAAAAAAAAAAAAAAGCATTAAGTCGCCATGGATTACCAAAAAACTTAGAAAATTGTCCGAAGTTAAACAAAAATTGTATACAAGGCCAGCACAATAGGGGTGTGTGTGTGGGGGGGGGGTGACCCTTTTCCTTCCCTCATCAATGATTTTCAGTCGGCAAACAGAACCCTTAGTCGGCAAATTGGACCCTTTTAGACTAGTTAGTCGGCAAATGTCAACCCTTTCAATATAGGTTAGACAGTCGGCAAATGTCGTCATGGCAGTCGGCAAATTTTGGAAAACAAGGACCTTTTTTTTTTTTTTATCGGCAAAAGTTGTAATAACCCCCCCCCCCCCCCCCACGTGACAACAACTCGCGCCGGCCCTGATTGTATATTATCTAAAAATAAAATGCGATAAAAATATGGCAATTTATAAAAATTACGTTAAAAATTTTGAAAGTCAAAGAAAAAACTTAAAAAAAAAGTACTACTCAAACCTATGAGAAGTTTAAACATAACTCAAAGCGCACGTGGCAAGTTTTAAATGAAATCACTGGTAACCATAAGATTAAAACATGCAACTTACCAAAAGTTATTAGAAACAATGATGATTTCATATATAATCCAAAAGATATAGCTAATCAGATAAATAACTATTTTGTATCTGTTGGTCCTAATCTAGCAAAAAATATTTCAGTTGTAACCAAAAAAATAAACTTCAAAAAAGCCTTCCCAAAATTTCTGTACTTAATAATTTGTAAATTTCAATGAAAGAATTTGAATATGCTTATAAAGTGCTAAAAACAAATAAAGTGAGAGGTCAGGACGAAATAAATAGTAACATTATTATATTATCTTACGAGATCATAAAAACTATACTATTCAAAGTGTTTAGTTACTCAATAAAACAAGAAATATTTCCTGACCAACTAAAGATCGCTAAAGTTACACCAATATATAAAGGTGGTGAATTATCAAATATAACTAATTATCGACCAATATCTGTACTCTCTGGCTTTTCAAAGGTTTTTGAAAGGATTCTATACAACAAAATATATGAACATCTTTCTAAAAATAAAATATTAAATGCCAGTCAATATGAATTCAAAATAAATAACCCCACGGAATACGCCATACTTCATGTAACTAATAATATTGCAAACACTTTTAAATTTTTAAAATGTTTTTAATGTTCTTTTATTTATGTACAAATGTAAGATAAACCTAACACCTATATCCCTTCAAAATTTATATGCAATAAAACAAAAAAACAAATATGACTTAAGAAATGACAATCTTATTCATCAACATTATTCTCATACAAGTTTTGGAAGATCTCTTTTAACATATCGCGGAGCTCTTCTGTGGAACAAAATAGTTTTGAAAAATTTTTCCCAAAGTTGTAGTTTTCTTACTTTTAAAATTTTTTAAATTTTAATGTTGAAAAAAGTTATCTTGTTAATTGATAATATCTTTGAGTTCTTTTGAGTTTATACCTCTTAAAAAAGTGTGTGGTTCCTGAATATATTGTTTTATTTTGAAATATTTAGATTTATATATATTCTTTACGTTGTTAAACGTTATTTTATGTTTTGAAATATCTGGTTAAATTCAAATTTTATTTTTAAACGTCATTTATTGTAATTATTTAACTGGTTTCATTTTTACTGTATTGTTAAACGGTTCTAAGTGACAGGATCCTCTTTGAGTCTCCGTGTTCTGATATTTAATGTACAACGATATTTATACCATAGTATATTGATAACAAGAACAAAAAAAAAAATAAAAAAAAAATACAGGAGATGCTTTTGTAAATAAAGAAATTGCAGAAACATTTAATGACTTTTCATAAATATAGAGAAAAAACTAGCCATTGCAATTCCTGAGGGGAGTAAACATTTGAAACCTTTTTGAAAAAATCAGATTCCGTAATGGATGAGTCGGAGCAAAAGTGACTGCAATGTTATTTAGAAAATCGCAAACAAGTAGTACCATTTGATTTAACATGTTCCCCATTTGAGTCAATAAGTTGTGGAGTTCCACAAGGATCAATACTTTGACCTTTACTGTTTTTAACTTATATTAATGATGTTTATTTGTGATCAAAAATACTTAATTATATTATTTTTGCTGACGACACA